AGCAACTCTCAAATATACAATACAGTGTTACTAACCGAGTCACCGACCTGCACACTACATCCCGTGACTTCCTTATTTTATAGGTGGAAACTGTACATTTTGACCACCATCAGCCATTTTGCACACCAACGACCCCTCACCTCTGGCAGCCACCAATCTCTTCTCTCTATGCGTGAGCTTATATTTCATGTTATTTCCATTTTTTAAAATTTTACATGTAATTGAGATCACATGGTATTCACCTTCACTGTCTGACTTATTTCACCCAGCATAATGCCCTCAAGTTTCATCCATGTTGTTGCAAATGGAAGAATTTCCTGCTTTGCCTGGCTGAATAGCAATTTGTTGAATACATATACCACATTTTCTTTATCCTTTCATCCACTGAACACATAGGTTGACTCCATGTCTTGGCTGTTGTAAATAATGCTGCAATGGACATGGGGCTGCAGACATCTTTTCAAGTTAGTGTTTTTGTTCTCTTGGATACATACACAAAAGTGGGGTTGCTGGAGCAGTCATACGGCAGCTCTATTCTTAATTTCTCTAGGAACCTTCACACTGTTTTCCATAGTGGCTGTATCAGCTTACACTCAGTCCAACAGTGCAGGGAAGTTTCCTTTTCGCCTCATCTGCACCAACACGTCCTTCTTGTCTCTTGACAATAGCCATTCTGGTAGGTATGAGGTGGTATCCCACTGTGGGTTTGACTTGCATTTCCCTGATGGTTAGTGATGGTAAGCAACTTTTCCTTCCTGTGTCTGCTGGCATATCTATATCTTCTTTAGAAAAATGTCTGTTCAGGTCCTTTGCCCATTCTGAACCCAAGTTGCTTGTATTTTGACTACTGAGTTGTATGAGTTCTTTACATATTTAGACGTCAACTTTTTCCAAATTTATGATTTGCAAATATTTTCTCCTGTTTGGTAGACTGTCTCCTTATTTTGCTGAATTTTCTTTCTTGTGCAGAAGCTTTTATTTTGATACAGTTCCACTTGTTTGGTATTCCTTATGCTGCCTTTGCATTTGGTGTCAAATCCAAAATATCATCATCATGACTGAAGACCATGAGCTTACCATGAATGTTTTCTTCTATAAGTTTTATAGTTTCAGGTGTTATATTCAAGGCTTTAACTCATTTGAGTTCATCTTTTCCTGGTCTTAGAGTTTCATTCTATTCATGAGGCTATCCAGTGTCCCTGACACCACTTATTGTGGATAATGTCCCTTTCCCGTTTTATATTCTTGGCTGTAAAATAGCTACCATATACCCGTGACCTTTTTTCTGAACTCTCCGTTCTATTTCCCTGATCTGTGTGTCTGGTTTTTGCCAATACCAGACCCTTTGATTACTATAGCTTCAAGTCATATAGTTTGACATCCTGGTTTTGATGCTTCCAGTGTTGTCTTCTTTGTGAAGATCATGTTGACTATTCGGGATCTTTTGTAGTTCCAACAAATTTTAGGATTAGTTGTTCTATTACTGCGAAAAATGTCATTGGAATTTTAACAGGGATTGCAATGAATCTGTAGGTTACTTTGGATAATGTGGACATTTTCTCGATATTAATTCTTTCATTCATGAGTACAGCATATTTTCCCACTTATTTGTGACTTCTTCAACTTCTATAATCACTGTCATACTTTTCAGTGTATAGGTCTTTCCCTACTTGGTTAAATATATTCCTAGTATTTTACTTTTTGATGCAATTACAAACGGGAGTGTTTTCTTCATTCTCTTTCCGATAGCTATTCATGTATAGAAATGCTAATCAACAGTGATTTTGTGCTGTTTTCTTCATTCACTTTCTAATAGTTATTCTGGTATAGAAACACTAATCAACAAATGATTATGTGTATTGATTTTTTTATCTTGTGACTTTGCTGAATTTATTAATTCTAAGCTTTACATAGAGTTTTCCACGTGTAATATCATTTTGGCTGCCAATAGTGACAGTTTTATTTCTTCTGTTCCAATTTCATGCCCTTTTTTCCCTCTCTTAATTGCTATGGTCATGCTTTATAATATCACGCTAAATAAAAGGGTTAAGTGTGAGCATCCTTGTCTTTTTCCTGATCTTTGAGGAATAGATTCCAAGTTCTCATCATTAGTTATGAGGTCAGAGGTGGGCTTATCACAGACGGCCTATATTATGTTGAGGTACATTCCCTTTATTTCCATTTGAATGAGAGTTTTTATCAACAATGGAGTTGAATTTTGGCAAATGCTTTTTCTGCATCTGTTGAGATGACCATATAATTTTTATCTTCCATTTAGTTAATTCAGTGGATGTTGAACCATCCTTGCATTCCTGGAATAAATCTCATTTGATCATGGTGTACCATTGTTTTCTTTGTATTGTTGGATTTGTTCTGTTAATGGTTGTTGAAAATGTTGGAATTTCTCTTCAGCAGGGAAACTGACCTATAATTTTCTTTCTTGAGACTTACTTGTCTGATTTGGTATCAAGGTAAAGTTGGCCTTTTAAAATTATATTATAAGTGTTCCATCCACTTCTTCTTCTTCTTCTTTTTTTTTTTTTTTGAAAAGAGTGACTGAGAAGAATTGTATTAATTCCCTTTCAATGTTTGATAGAAATCACCAGTGAAAATGATCTTATGTTTCTTGGGAAGTTTCTGAATATGGCTCAATTTTTTTTACTAGTAATTCATCTGTTCATATTTTCTACTTATTCATGATTCAATGTTAATATAATATATATTTCAAGGAATTTATCAATTTTGACTCTGACTACTTTTTTGAGGATGAGATTTAGGTCAGTACATTTAAGCAAGCTATTCTCACTTTTATTCATAGTTATTATCTTATTATAATAAACATCATTATTAATTAGATGTATCAATGGGCTTTAAGGAACGGTCAGGATGTGTAATCAATGAGACACAAAGTAAAAAGCTGTATGATCACAATTACATGTGATTTTTTTTAAAAACTCAGAAAAAGAGGTCAGATTTGTGGTTGCTGTAGGTGGGGTTGAGGGCATTGGAGAATGGGAGAAGATAGTGAAGAGGTACAAACTTGCAAATGTAAGAAACAAATACAGGGGATATAATGTAAAACATTATAAAGAGAGAAACAGACAGACAAACAGAAAGACAGAGAAAAATACCCACATGGTAGAGCCTGGGAGCTGGTTTGGGAGCTTGTTGCCCACCATGGAGAAGGGGAGGGTGGTTACTGGTGGTAGGGAGGCTCTTGCCCTGCTTAGACTGGGCTCTGCTCCCAGAAACGCAGGGCGTTGCCCCTGTTCCCCCACCTACAGGGATGTGACAGGCAGTTCTTCAACGCCTCAGAGCAATTTGTCAACATGGACCTTCTGCTGGACTATATCAACAGCCGCACATCCCGCTTCAGTGTCTCGATAGAGTATGCCACACTGGGTGGCTACTTCCAAGCTGTTTACGCACATAATGTTTCATGGCAAGTCCACAACCACCAAGACTTCCTGCCCTATTCCTCAGGTATGAGCCTCTGGGAGTTGGGGTGGTGATTTGGTGCCAGCGAGGTAAGAGGCCTCACCCATCAGTGTCTCATCAGCCCTGCTTGGAGCCCTGAGGCAGAGACAGGCCTTACCCCCACCTCCCAGACCCACCTAGACACACAGCCTGGTTCCCAGCACACTACACCTCTCACTGTTGTCCACACACACAGCAGGTTCCTGTCTCTGTGCCTTTCACTGCAGTAGTACCTTCCAGCAATACCCTCCTCGCACCTTCTCTTCCTGCAAAAGTCCTACTTATCTTGTAGTGTCACCTCCTACAGGAAGCCTTTCTTGATATTAAGCCTAGTTCAGTTGGCTCCTCCTAACCCAAGGGCCCCAGTTTTCTTCAATTAACATACAGTTATTTGGGGCTTGTTTCCCTCAATCCTGTGTCCTGGGGGCCAGGGCCATTTTGGATACAGACAGCACAGCCTAAAACACGAAAGCTCTTACAGTGAACTTACTGCATGGCTACGTGCATGTCGTGGAACCATCCTATCTCAGGAAAACAGGGATATTAACGGTGCTTAGTCCATCGAGTATAAACATGAAATGAGACAAGAAGAGCTCTTAGCCTAGTGTCTGACCCACAGGAAGGGCTCAGCAGATGTAAATGTTAATAATTATGACATCATCACTGTCTGGTGGTATCAGGTCCCTTCCTGGACACGATCTGTGCAGGCCCTCCTGAGGAAGCTTGCTCAGGCCCTGAGGTGCGTTGAAGGCAGCACACCATTGCCACCCCTCCCAGGCCTATCACCACCTGCCCCTCCACGTTGAGATCCCTGCAGACCTCTGTCTGCAAGCCAGCACCCCCAACACTCCACCAAGTCTTGTCTAAGAGAATCAGCAAGGATGATGTTGGCCAATTTGTTGAGCCATCTAACATCTTTATTGCATTAAAAAAAACAGAGCCTTGAAGGACCCTTCTAGTCCTACTTCGACTTTGCACATAAGGAAAAGCCAAGGGGATTCAAGGGGGTGGGAGTGGGGGTGAAATGGGGACAGAGTACCATAATCAAGGACAGCCCAAGATCCGAATGCAGCCCCCACATCCCAGCCAGCTTTGCCCAGCACTGGCTTCCATGCTGAGCTCACTCACCTGAAGGAGTGGTTTTGGAAGGAAGAGTGAAGATGTGTGTCTATGCTCACGGGACATGTGGGAAACCCAGGCTTAGAGGGGCATCCACTAGCTTAACATGCACCAACGGGCCAGGGAACCTGGAGCCGAGAATGTCCAAGACCTCTGCCCTGCCTTCCCTCACCGACCAGCAGGCACAGTGCCTCAGGAGGGCTGGCCCCAGGCGGTGATTGAGAAGCTCACCTGGGTTTGGATCACAGCTCCTCCTCTCAGGCGCTGGGTGGCTTTGGGTTTAAGTGATGTCACTTTCCTGAGCCCCCGTTCCCTCATCAGTGAAGTGAGTTCTCAGGAGGTCTGAGCGGCACCCTGATGATGGCTCCTCATTTTCTTCCCCTTCAAAGAGACACCAGGAAGGGCCCCCAGCTCAGGGCTGGTTCCTCCCCGAGTGTTGTTCTGACTCCCCCAGACCTGGGTTGGTTGTGCCTCTTGGGCCTCGGCCTCTCATGTGAGCGGTGGGAAGAGGGAGCTACATAGCTCTCAGGACACTCCCCATTGGATAAAGCAGTCTGGGGAAGGCTGACTTCTGGCAGAGGTGGGAGGGGCTCCGTCTAGTGGGCGGGGTGCCGGTCAAGGTGGGAGTGGAAACCTCCACGTGGGCCTGGTTACACCTGAGGTGGGAGGGGGTGCAACGATGTGGGCAGGGCTACGTTGAGACAGGAGGAGTTACGTCTGGGTGGGAGTGGCTACACCCAGGTGGGAGGGGCTGCGGAGAAGCCCTGTGGGTGGCGGGGTGGGCGGGGCTACCGGGCTGCTCCCTGGAGGAGGCACCATCTACACAGAGACTGGACAGCACGGAGGAGGCTTGGGTCCTGATCTGAGGGCAGCGGGATCGTGAGTGGCTTTGGCAGACTGGTGCCTGCTCAGAGCCAAGGCTGTGCAGGTCTCTGTCTGACATGGACACTCTAGGCCTGGGGAGGAGCTGGGGAGGACCCGTGCACCTGGCCCCACAGCCTGTGGCCTTTCCCAGACCAAGTGACTACCCATCATGGTCTGACCCAGGTCCTGTGGGGAAAGAACAGGGAATGGAGGCCCAGCCCAGCCCCAGGAGGAGGCAGGAGGAGGCAACAGGAGGGAACACCAGACCACCTGCTGGGACACAGCCTGGCCCCAGGGGTGCTCAGCCTCCCTCCTCCCATCCCTGCCTTGTGCTCTCAGTTCAGCGTCAGGACGGTGGCCACTGGGCTCCCTTATCTCTCCCACCCCGCCCAGCCCTCCTCGCTGGGCTGCCAGAGGGACCCTGCAGGCCTGTCCAGGGGCCCTTTCCCCTCGAAGTCACACAGCGGGGCCTCCTCGGGGTCCTGCCCTCCTCACCCTCATCTCACTCTCCTCCCCTGAGATCCTCCGGGCCCTTTGCTCACAAGGCCGCCCCAGGGTCCCAGGTGCACACTGGGCTTTCTTGTCCCCATCCCAGCCCTTCAGCTCCCAGGCCTCCCCAGGCCTGCCCCAGGCCGGCCTGACCCTCCCACCTGCCCCAGCCCTGCAGGGCTCCTGGGCTGCTGCTGGCCTGGCTGAGGTAGAAACATGAGATCGGTACCCACCCTGGGCTGCCACCCTGAGTGACGTGGTAGGAATCTACCATCTCTGATCCCATCTTCCTTCTGGACCAGGGCTTGGGGGCTCCGCGGGCAGGACCTGACAGTCACTGCTGGCCTTCCTCTCCCAGAACTGTTAAAGTCCTGGACCGGATTCTACACGTCCCGAAGCGGGCTGAAAGGCCTGGCGAGGCGAGCCAGCGCTCTGTTGTATGCCGGGGAGTCCATGTTCACACGCTGCATGTGGCCGGCTCCCCACCGGTTCCTGGACCCGGCCTGGGCCCTGAAGCGGCTCCAGCAGCTGCGCTGGGCAGTCTCGGAGGTAACGCCCGCGTCTCGGCCACAGCACAGGATTGGAACCCCCTGGGCGGTGCACTTCCCCTCCCAAGGTCACAGATCCTCCCAGGCCCCGGTCACTAGAGTCCACTTTACAGATGAGAACACTGAGGTCTCCTTGGGTCACGAGGCCCGTGCATGAAGCCGCTGGGCCAAGGCCAGGACCATGGTCTGCCGGTGTCCACCTGGTGGAGTCAACAAGCTTTAGAGCCAGATTCAAGGGCAAAGTGGAGAAGCACTGGTGTCCAACATTCCTGCCTGGATTTGACAGCTCACTTCTGGGCCCCAGGCGGGTGGCTTTCCTTCTCTGAGCCCTAATTCCATGCTTGTATAATGAAAATCAGTGAGGGTGGCAATTAAATGTGGTAATGCACATAAGCCTCTGGCCTCGGTGGCTGCCACAAAGGAAGTTGTTCATAAATTTCTGCCTCTATTTGACCCCACTGTACAGATGGGGAAACTGAGACCCAAGAAGTCCTGTATCTGGTCTCATCACACAATGAGAATTGAGTTACACGGGCCATGACATTCGTGTTACCTAAAAGGAATTGCTGGCAGAACCAGTCACTGTGTGGGGTGAAGTGGATTGACTTTAGTGTCCCTCACAGTGGGCGGAATCGTGGCTTCCCTTCATGGAGCCTCAGTTTCTCCTCTGTGAAGAGGAGTTAATCCTATCCTTACACAGTGGAGACAAGTGCCAGGGTTATGTGTGGAGCGGTGGAGCAGGCTAGCAGCACTTACGGGCAGACTGGGTCATGGAGATGAAGCGGGGGTGGGTGCCCTGCAGAAGTCTGTTTTCTGCCCAAGGTCAAGGACTCCGAAGTGGGTTTCCACAAGGTCAGAAAACGTTGGGCAAGTTCATCAGCCTCTCTGACTTCAGCTTCCTCTTTTGTAAAGGGTGGGGAACCCCACCTTCTCCACCAGCAGCTGGCGAGCAGGATGAGAGCCAGTGCCCAGCGGGTGCCAGGATAGTAGGTGCTCGGCAGAGGCAGGCCCTGACCCCACTCCTCCCCTGCTTGGCCGGGGGCTGCAGGTCCAGCACCACGACGGCATCACTGGGACTCACACCCCCAACGTGACAGACATGTTAGTGGAACATCTGAGCGCAGGGGTGCAGGGTGTGCACAAGCTGATGGCCACCATCACCCAGGACAGGACCCCAGCCCACTCAGGTAAGCGAGGCCCCTGAGGTGGACGCGGTGGTCGGGCAGGGGCTCTGTCCTTTCCTGAGAAGAGTTCCTGGGGGCCGGGGAGGGGTCCAGACCGCCTGAGCTTCAGACTCTGGGTCTCCATCGCAGCTGTGGCCCCTAACCTGGCTGTGCGCTTGGGCAGGGGACTCACTTCTCGGAGGCTCTGTTTCCTCTTTGTGACTGAGGGAGGGCTGGTGTGACAGTTAGAGGCAGGAACAATGCTAACAGGGCCTGGCATCTGCTCAGCACTCCTCATGCAGAATTTAATGTGCTGACTCACGCATCTCTGAAGCTGGAGCTGTTACCGCCCTCACTTTATAGCTGAGGACACGCACAGACAGAGGGATACGGACCTGCCCAGGGTCACACAGGTAGGGTGCGGACCCTTAGGCCTGCGCTGCCCAGCGTTGCAGAGAGGATGCAGGTGTCCTCAGGGACCTGGCCCAGCCTGGCTCCCAGCACTGGCTCCTGAGCTCAGCCTGGGCGCAGATCGTGGCAGGGCTGCCACTGCACCAGCCCCTTTGATCTGAGGGTTTCACCTGTGGGGAGCGGTTCCTCGCACCCGTTTGCTTGGCGCTGAGGGGATTCACCCCAGAGAGTCCTGGGCAAACAAGGACACGCTGGTCTCCCCACAAGTGCACGAGATTTTTTGTCCCGAAGGTGGCTGCACCTTCCCCAGGACTCCACTCCCAGGCCGCTCTCGGACACTGTGCAGCTCCCCTCTGGCCTCACTGTTCACCTGACCTGCTCTTCCTTCCCCTCAGGGTCTGGGTACAATCCCATCCTAGCTTCGGACTCGGGAAGGGCCCGGGGGACCAGGGGTGCAGGTGACAGGACACTGTCCGCAGAGACGAGGATCCAAGGACAGACAGTCTCAGAAAGAGAGCTAGAACTGGGGTCGGACTCCCTGCCCGGGGGGCCACTCCATCCCCCTGAGCTCACAAGGGCGGCTCCCCCGAGCAAGGGGGAGGTGGAGACACCAGAAGGGCATCGCAGCCCCGGAGCTGCCGGGCGGGGCTGGGGGCTGGAACCGTGTGGTGTGCTCAGGGACCTGGGGGTCATTGGACGTGGATGTGCTTAGGGCACATGGGGTGCGGGATGGAACAGAAACGGAATTCAGACCCACTTCGCGGGGGCCTCCAGTGCTGAGCTAGGTGACTGAACTTGACCCTCCAGGCTCCAGAGAATTCCCCACTCCTTGAATGCCAAGCGCTCAAAGCTTTGGAGCCAGGCCCTAGGAGCTGGGCCACCTTGGGCAGGTGACTCTACCCCTCTGGGCCTTGGTGTCCTCACCTGTGAAGTGGGGCTGACAGGGAGAGATGCGTGAGGCGCCCATGGACCCTGAGCTTCCAGAGGGACACTGAGCTCCCTTCCCACCTCCCCTGCCTGGAGGCCAGGGCGGCAGGACGAACAGACTGGGGCGCTGCGTGCGTGGGCACCACGTGTCTGCCTGTCCCTCTCCCCCGGACCCTGCAGGGCCGGCCTCACCTGCCTGTTTCTCAGCTTCCCTGGGCACGCAGGTGTGCCGAGTGAGTCAGATGGCAGCAATAAAGCCTTGCCTCTGTGTGCAGGCCCAGAGCCTGGGGGCCTCTTTGCCGTGGTCTACAACCCCCTGGCCTGGACAGTCACCACCATCGTCACTCTGACTGTGGGCTTCTCTGAGGTCAGCGTCACGGACGAGTCAGGCCGCCCGGTGCCTGCGCAGGTATGGGCGGGAGCTGCGGCCGGAGGCGCGCCTGCTGTTGCGGCACCTGCTCTGGGCTGGGCACCCACAGAAGTGGGAGCCTTTACAGTGAACAGGGGACAACCCCACTGTCACTGTGAGAACACTGTCATTGGGGTGTGCATCCACCAGGGTCACTGGGATCCACCCAGCGGACTGACTTTGGGCATCTGATTTGGCCAAAAATGACTCTTCTGTTCTCTCCCTGGAAGGTCTCAGGGAGGTCTGGGCGGCACGGGAGGCGCCCCCTCCTCTGCTCCATGTGGAATAGATACATTCTGGTGAATTTCCACTTTGTGTGGGGAAGGCCGTCGGGAGTCTTAAAGCAGATACTGAAAGAGGCGCTGCATCAGGGGCTGGGCACGGGCGGGCTGTCTCTGCGACACCCAGACAGGCAGCGGCAGAGTGTGGTCCCCGTCTCCTTCCAGGGCCTGGAGCCGGAGGTGCTTCCAGAGGGCACCTACCTGTCACCCAGCCAACCCTCCAGGGGAGAGGCAGAGAAGGTGCTGCCGTGAGGCAGACATTCCGGGAACACTCTCCAGTGCCCATTTTGGGCCTGGGCCTGGGCTGAGTGCTGGGCTCTGGACACTGGAGTCACCGCGGGGGTCAGGGAGCAGACACAGGAACGGAGAGTCAAGGTGTGCTGCGATCACCCGCGGGCCTGGGCAGCAGCCCTCAGCTGGGCCAGAAGGCGGAGCGAGCAGCTCCCCTCCGTGGACGCGGGAGAAGAGGGTGCTGGCTTGAGCAGACTCAGCACGTGCACCCCTTCCGCGCCCACAGGCAGTACCCACCAAGAGTAAACGCACTCAGATATCCCTGGAGCCCCTGCTGTGTGTCAGGCCTCACTGTAGGTGCTGGAGAAGCTTCAGTAACCAAGGAGACAAAGTGCCTGCCCTCAGGGCTCATGTTCTAGCCGGAGAACCAGGCAGGAAGCAAAGTAGGAAAATACAGCCCTCGCTGGGTGGTAACTGTGGCGGAGGGAATCCTTCAGCACAGGTGTGGGGGGTGTGCGGTGGGACAGTGTAGCTGCTTTAGTTCAGAGAAAGGCCAGGTGGAGGGGCTCAGAGAGGCACCTTTTCCCTAGAGAGTGAGGGTCCCCCCTGCAGGTCCTCGGTGTCCTCCTCCGACCCCCTTCCTTAATCAGACAATGTGGGGATGGGGAAAGGGCAGGAGCGAAACCCCGAACACCTCCCCCCATGGGGAAGTTGGAGGAATGAGAGACAAAGGCGCTCCCTCCAGAAAGGAAGCCCCGCAGACAGAGGGGACAGTGTGAGCACAGGCTCAGGGCAGGACACAGCAGCGAGGGCTGGATAGGAAGGCGGCCGGTTTGCAGGCCCCAGAGGAGAAGGGGGGCAGGAGGGAGAGGAGGCTGGGCCTGGGTCCTGCTGAGCAGGGAGGGTGCAGGGAGGGGACCCAGCTCAGCCCAGGGATGGACCACCCTGCTGCCTCAGCGGGCAGCAGGCACTCCATCCTGTGGGCGTGCGGCCGCGGGTTACTAAGGACACTGAGGCATCTTCCAATCCTGACGTCCATCATTTCATCCCATCCCGCTGGCCGTGCAGGTCCAGAAGTCAGGGGATACCCCACCCGCACATGACCTGCACGTGCTGACCACGATCCCGGGGCTCAGCTACCAGCACTACAGCATCAGGCCCATCAAGAGGGCCCATGAGGACACCCAGGAGGCTGCTGCCACCGTGACCAGCGCCACGCAGTTTGGCCGCAGGCTCAGGGGACATGCCAGGCACTTGGGCAGGCGCCTGGTGCCTGTGAAGAATGACTGCTACACTGTGTTCCTGGACCAGGAGACCAACCTGATGCACAGCGTCTGGGAGGGGTGAGGTGCAGCCACCGCTGGCTCCGAGGCGAGGAGCGCCCTGGGGCCTGGGCGTGCCCTGCCCTCACCGGGTCTGCATTTCCTCCCCTGCCTGGGGGCCTGGGAAGGACCTGATGGTGCTGAAGGCCCTCGCAGTGCCGAGCTGATGTCCAGGCGTGCGTGTCTAGGCTAGGGCAAAGAAGGCTTTCCTGAACTTGTTCATTTCTAAGGTGTGAATCCACGGAAAAAGGAATGTTGAGAGATCCTCCCTGGGGGAAATATAATAGTCACGGTACCCACTCTTTTAAATTGGGAGAAACATAAAATCCATACATCCACCCACCGCCGCATCCATCTCTCCACTCGCCCCGCCACTCATCCATGCATCCACCCATCCATCTTTCCATCCATGCACCCGTCCATCCACCCCGCCATCCGTCCGTCCACCCATTTATTCACATGTTTAATCAACGGCAGCTATTGGTTGACAGCAGAGAAGGCATCTGACCCCCAGGGAAGTCCTCCCAGAGTTTGGAGCACCCCCTGCCCCGTCCATCCTCCTGTCACATCCCAGGCAGTTTTCATTCCTCCTCAGCGGCCTCTCCCAAGACAGCCGCTTCTGTTTCCTCATGTGCCTCCTGACAGGAGCAGAGTTTGGGAGGAACAGGAAGCTTGGGAGGAGCCCCTGGCAGAAAGCGAAGGGGAAGAAGGAGGGGGAGGGGGAGACAGAGCAGAGGAGGGAGTGGGGCATTGGCGTGAGGTGAGTGTCACCTGGAGCTCAGTCAGCTGTCAGCAGCTGTGCAGGCACAGACCAGGACTCCCCTCACCTGGGCTCAGCGCAAGTCCAGTCCTTCAGTCGGACAGCATGAGGCGGGGAGGCGGGGAGGCGGGGACAATGGTCTAGAGGCTTGTCTCCAGACCAGGTGCGTGTGTGTCATCGAGTGTCCTCGTAACTGTCCCTTAGGCTCTGTGGAGGGTATTTTTGTTCACTCCTGATTCGAGGCTGGTGTCTGCGTACAGGGATTGTGAGCGTGGTTCCCAGCACAGGGATAATGCCCAAGAGACATTGTCCGCCACGATCATACTGGTTTCTCTCTCCCGCCTCTGCAGGCAGAGTAACCGCACAGTACGCGTGACCCAGGAGTTCATGGAGTACCACGTGAACGGTGAAGAGGAAGACGGTCTTATTTCAGATAATTACGTGTTTATGCCCAAAGGTGCCGCAGAGCCAGCGTGGGAAGCTGTGGGGATGGAGATCGTAGAGGGGCGGCTCATGACCGAGATCCGGCAGTTCTTCTACAGGTGAGGACGGCCCCGCTGGCTGTGCGCAGAGGACGCTGGCTGGGCAGGTGCTTGGGGAAATGAGGGTCCATCCTTGCTCCAGATGCCCAGCTCCTAGTTCTGTGCTTGGCACTCGGTCGTTCCTCAATGAAAGTTTAATGCAGTGATGAACTGCTCCGAATCTCTGCAGACCTGGCTGTGCTGTGTCATCTTGGTGCATCTAAGTCCAGAGGTGGGACCAGCACCCATAGTGGCAGTGACTTACATACCAGAGCAGGTCTGGTGTTCTCATTAACAGCACAGACATGAGCCACCCAGGCTGGCTGGTGCTCAGCACCGTCAGGGACCCGGGCTCTCTGCCTGCCCTGCGCTGCCTGCAGCAAGGAGGGAGGGAGGGAAATGAGGTAGGAAGGAAAGAAGGTGACACAGGAAAAAATGTGGGGTGAGAAAATGACCACGTCGCAGCTTTCAGCTGGCTGTATGGGACACACCCCACCACGTGTGGGTCCTAGGCTTCAAGCAGGAAAGATTCGAGGGTGAGCCACGGCTCAGTGAAGGTGGATTTATTCTGAAAGCTACATACTCCATGGACAGAATGCGGGCTATTTCAGAAGGCAAGGGGAAGGCCATGAGGCGTGGGGCTGGATGCTCAGTTTAAAGCAGAAGTGGACTCACACTCCGCAGACAGAGTGCGTGCCTCTCGCTCAGGAGCGCGAGCGCCCCGGGCTGCGGGGCTGCTAGTTTTTACGGGCTCAGTAACTTTGTATGCTAACAAATGGGAGGATTTTCCCAACTACTTTGGGGAAGAGGCTGGGATTCTCAGTAGCTGAGCCACCACCCACTTTCTGACCTTTTATTGTCAGCCTGAGAAGGGTCCTGGCGCCGGTGGGGAGACTCATTCACCATGTTAACGTGCTGCAGTGGGCGTGTGGTGAGCGCGAGTCTCCTGGAAGTCAGGTCTCCTGCCATCTTGGGCCTCAGGGCCTGCTGGGAGCTGGATCTTCCACTCTCTTGGTGTTAGTTGCTGTTACTCCTTGAATGGCCGTGCCCTGCCCCCTTCCTTCCTGTCCAAAGGCAGGGCCGTCCAGAAGCTGCCAGAGCTTGACTCGCCCACTCTGCTTCCCCTCCAGGCAGGTGAACGACACTGACCACACACACGCCATCTACACCCGGCTGGCCCGCGGGCCTCAGGGCTCTGGCGGGGAGCTGCTCTGCCATCGCATAGAACAGGAGTGCCGGGTGGGCCCCTTGGAGCTGAACCGCGAGGCCATCCTGAGGACCAGCACCGATCTCAACACTCAGCGGGTTCTCTACTCGGACAACAACGGCTACCAGATGCAGCGCAGGACCTACAGAAACTACGCGAACAACACTGTCTCCCGGGTAGGCCCTGCGGCGCCCCGTGGGCACAGGGCCCGCAGACGCAGCGCCGATGGCACTTCTGCAGCCGGCGGGAGGGACCCCTATGAGCACCCACGGTCAGCAGCAGAGTCTAGAGCATCTCTCTGAACCTCCGCTGCCCCACGTGTGCCGTTAGTGGGTGAGACCCAGGCTTGTTCAGACCTGTGCCCGAGCTCTGGTGCCACCGCGTGTGAGGGAAGTTGCTGAGGCCTCCTGTGTGCCCCTCGGGTCCTCTTCTGTCAGATGAGTGCCTCACTGGGGGTCACTCTGGGGATAAGCAGATGATGCCTGTCTAGGCCTGAGCGGGCTTGGACCCTCATTGGCTCCTCTCAGTAGACCCACTGCCAGGCCGCTTGGTGAAATGGCAAACACAGCCTGAATTCCGAAATCAGTTCAGCTCCCAGACCCTTTGCATCCAGCAGAGTGACCAAGGGCAGGTCACCTGGCTTCCCTGGGCCTCTGTGCTCTTCTGGGAAAGGAAGTGACCTCCCCTCAGAAATCTGGGGGTCAGCTGGGACAGTCCAGGCGCAGGGGTGTGCGGGGCACCTCTTATGCCTCAATCAGCGTTAGCTCCTCCTCCTTCCAGGGGACCCCGTGTGGGGGTTGTGACCCCTCCCTGCTCTGCCTTCCTTGAGTTTCATTCCCTGTCATTTCTATTGGCTGCTTCTCACCCGCTGTGGCCGAGGCTCCAGAAAGACCAAGGCCGTCAGCCCAGGACGTCTTGCCCCAACAGAGCAAAGAGCATGGGCTCTGCGACCACTGTTCCAGCCCAGACACAGGCCCTTTTCTATCTCGCAACCATCGGCCTAGGGCTGATCTCAGCCTGGACTGGCACACACCCCTTCATTCCCCCCCGAAGCAGTTGTGCGGGGTGGTTTGACCCCATGTTACAGATCGGGAAACTGAGGCTTGGGCATCTGAGTCCCCATCTCATACGGTCAAGAAGCAGAAGAGCTGAATTTCAATCCAAGTCGGTCAGTCTAAAACGTCAGATCCCCAAACCCTGGCCACCAACACCACACTGAGCAGCCACCGTGCCTGTGCGGGGGGCTGGCTCGGGGGCCAGAGGTGATCCAGACCAGGTGTCCTACCAGGCCCTTGGCCCCTACCGCCAGCCTGGCAGTGTTTCTGTCCACAGAATTACTACCCCATGGCCCAGGCGGCCTTCATCCAGGACAGAGGCAGCCGGCTCGTGCTGCTGTCGGAGCGGGCCCACGGCGTCTCCAGCCAGAGGAGCGGGCAGGTGGAGGTAGGAGGAGGCCCCTCCGGACCCCCGGGGGTGCGGCAGGGGCGAGGCGGGGCCTGCCACACAGCTCTTCCCTGCAGGTCATGCTCCACCGGCGGCTCTGGAACAAGTTCGACTGGGCCTTGTGGGACAACCTCACACTGAACGACACCACCGTTGTCCGCCCTGTGCTCTGGCTGCTGCTGGGACCCCGCACACTCACCGCCGGCCTGCGCCAGAGGAGTGGGCTGGCGCTGCGGCACAGGCCCGTGGTGCTGCTGAGAGAGCTGAATGGTAAGGGGGTCCTCTCAGTGCTCGTGTCGTCACGGCCCAGAGGGAGCCGGGCTGGCCGGGGGTGGGGACGGGCTTGTGCCCTCAGGGGTCTGGGCTACTTCGGGGCAGGAAGGGACTCAGGGACCTCTGATCCCAGCCCCTCATTTAAAATATGGGCAAACTGAGGTGCAGAGAGGCTCAGCGCCTCATTCAAGGTCATATGCTAGTCAGCGCACAGCTGGGACTCAGCTCCTCCCACCACACACCTTTTCCCTGCGTCGCCTCCCTTTTGCTCACTGACGTCCCTTTCTCTTTATTAATATGATGCAAGTCCACCTCTTACTTCAGGTCCGGAGGCTCAGCATTTAAAAGACTGGTTTTACCTAAATTAAGTATGCCGTCACCAGGTGAGGGCGATTCTTATCCATGTTCTGATCTGCAAGGTTTATGCACTGACTCTGCTGAGACTTCTGTAGATAAAGTCCCTCCAGTTTGGAAACTTTATGGAAAAACATTGACCGTGAAATGCATTAAACAATGATTGATTTAAAGACGATGCTATGGAGAAGCCTTAAAACCTTAAAGACCTAAATACACTACGGGATCGACCATTCCCACTACAGGAGCGCCTCATTTCATGTGTTTCTCTTTATTG